TTACGATGGTGGAGGATCATATGTTGATACATGAACAGGATATTAGGAAGATTACGGAAGGGTTGGGCGCGTCAAAGGAGTATTATTGGTATCATGATTATAAGAGGGTCGAGGGGTGGGAAGGGTTTGTTGAGGATGCTGCTAGGCCACGAGAGGGCGAGGAGGGGACGGTTACGGAGGATACCGTGTTGGTTATGAATGGTGGTGCGCATGTAGGTTTTGTCTTTCTTTCTTTTGCAGGTATTGATGTAATACAGTGGTCAAGACACGAGCTCTCAATGCTTCCAGCCGGAAAATCCGACGAAGAAGAACAATCTCGCGTAGTAGCTACATACAAACAAATGGTTCGTTTGTTCGCTCCCCCTCATGCCCCCCTTACTTACCCTCCTCCCAGATGAACCTCGTCATATCCCGGCTCTCCCCAATCCCCCAACTCTCCGTAATCTACCGTGCAACCTCCCCAGGCCACCCAAACTGCAACCTCCTCACCGTCCCCTACCGCTCCTCGGAAGCAGCCCAAATCGGCGAACGCAACCTCGTCGAACGGCTCATCTCAACCATGCCGGACGAGCAGTGGCGCACCTTCCGAAAACGATGGGACTGGGATTTGTTTGCTGTGCATAATGCACTTTGGGAGTGGAAGATTGCAAGCCTTGATAGGGTTCGCGAGGAAGGAATGGGGGGCAGGGTAAAGTGGATTTTCATGGATGTTTGGGACCAGGCGTTGCAGAGGCCTGATGCGCATACGGAGCCTGGGACGGATTGTTTGCATTGTGAGTACCATATATGCGCGCTGTTTTTTGGATTTGGGACTGATGATTGATGGTGCGGTAGGGAACTTGCCTGGAGTATTTGAGCAGTGGACACACCAGATATACCATGTCCTGTTTTTGGAGCGGGAGAGGAAGAGGGCAGGTGGGGTGTGACGTAGGTAGATTAGCGAGCATACCCTTTCGTGTACGCATACATTGTGTACGATGTACTCCTTGTATGCATTGACCGCTACTGTTTACCTTGATGCCCAACACCTCGATATTGATCACGACATCTGGCATCCACGACAACGACAACCCCACACTCTATTCCTAAACAACGCGATGTCTACCAACGGCGACCAACACTCAATCCACACACGAACACGCCAAGCTGCGACCAAGTGTCCGGAAGTTTCACGCCACAGTAAGTACCAGATTATCTTGCACACGTTTTCTACTAACAAAAGCTCATAGATTTCGTGCTACAACCTACTACAAGCCTATACGATGCGCGAGAAGACGATACAGGCTAAACGGCACCAGAGAAGACGGATACGACGACGTCAACACTTACACGAAGACCCAAGACTCAGATCTAACGCGTAAACGTTGTCGGAAGGGTGCGGGAGTGTGTGGAATGGCTGGATATGCTACAGAGCGCGTATACGAGGTAGGATAGGGTTGCGAGCAATGGGAGAACGTTCTGAGAGGTGAGTACTCACGTTGATTCGTTCATCTTGCACGAGGCTCATCGTTTTCAAGCTCCTGGTCAACGTGTTGG